CACAATCGACCACATTGTAAAAAGTGTACAAAAAACCGCATGTCTCCAGTTAATACATACAAAATTATTAGACCCACAACGAAATTCCCCAATGGAACTCGAGGCGGATCCACAGAGATTTCCAGTCTTAATTCGAGGTCTGCCTGATGCACTAAAAGTTTATGCTAAACAATTACAGGAGTGCATAAAGGCAACCCCCAGACCTAGAAGAAGGGGTGTTCCACCAGGGATAACCTGGTTGGAGATAGCCCAAGAATTAATAGCTGCTGGTCAGCAGCTGGTGCTCTCTGGTACCAGTAGCCAGAGAATACACTGCAGGAGGGCAGGGAAGGTCCAAAAACGTGCCTCACCAAGTATTTATCAACAAAATGTGTCATCTAGCGGGAGAAAGAGATACAGTTTGTGGGTGGAAGGCAGTTTTTCACAGACATGGAGGATGTAGCACAATGTGTTAGCACTAGTGACCACAGTGTTACAATGCCAGGGATTTTGCTTAGGTATCGTGTAGGAGACAGAACAAAATTTTGCAGGTTGACCTAAGCAGTCAGTATAAATTAGCCTGTGAAACTGGAGACACAGGAGATTCTGTGTCAAGACCCATCTTCAGCCTTACACTTCCCTTCTTTCCCAGTTGTGGAGATGCTATCGCGTTTGCAGCAGGCTCTGCTTTGCCATAAGCAAGGAAGCTCATCGTCTGGCATCGGTCTCACCATGCTCATGTTGCACTGACCTGTGCTCTCGGTGGCCAACACACTGTCTTGTTGCTTCTAGAACGTTTGCTCCCTGTCAACACCCAGTTGTGCTGGAAACATTTCCTACATCAAGGACACTGTCTATACCCTGAGTTTACAAGTGGACAAAGGAACAGGTGGAGGCATGCTCCGACTCTTGATATGTGCATGTTCTGTGCACACTGTTTGTGGCTCGCTGTGGCAGAGCTTCAGACTAATCGCACTTGGTAAGCGAAGCGCTGGGTGAAACTGGGACACAACAAGCCAAGCCCTCTACAGGCTGGATAAACAAGAACCTGCAGGAAAACACTGTGTTGCCCCAGCTTCCCTAACTCTTGTAAGTGCTCCAGGTCTTGGTACAATGTACAGGTGAGCATCTGGATGTAGCACTGTGAGCAGGACACGTCCGGATTACAGCAGTGCTCGACTGGCAACATGGACATCTTCTGAGAGTCCTTCACTTGTCTCTAGATGATTCACTCTTACATATCTTGCAGATGACTGGTGCATTTCAGGTAGTTATCTTTCCATTCCAAACTTCTGCAGGTAAATAACCATTTGGGGATTGATTTGTTCTGCATGCAGCACATCAGCTGGTCCCATTACAAGTAATTCAAATGCTTTCCAAAGTGGTAAGCCTCTGCTTATTTTCATTTCTTCCCTCTAGCAATGTAGTCAGAGGTTGTCTTATTCACTGTTTGAATCCTGCAAGCAGAAGTGAAATATTCTGTGATTCAGGACAGGTCAGAGTGTAGATTTTTCCACCATCCCAAAGCCTTGTTTAGTCAGCTGGATGAATTAGAGCTGGTAAGCATGTAGTAGGGCATAAAAGAAACCCTTCATGCTCTGTAAAACCAGCCTTGTGGAGCACAAGGGTGTTAATTTGTCACATAGCATGTCCACAGGCTGCACTGCACAGCCTGGGCTGGATGTGGAAATCTGGACACACCAAGCATTTGCTAGAGGCTCACCATTGCTGAAGGGTTATCATCCATCACCTACAGATCAGTTTTTCTTTCCCAAGGAAAGGAAGAAGACCAGCAGACAGGATCCTGAAAAACAGCCTACCTCTAAATGAAGAGATCAGGTTTCTGTAATTCTCTTCCTTTGTGTTCAGGCACCTGATACCTGGCAATTGCTTTGCTTCCTTGTATGTCCTGGCTGGATCGTCCTGTGCTCCTTCTGTACAAAGGGCACAGAGGAATTGAAATCAGTTTTGCCTGCAAACAGATGCCAACAAAATACATCGGAAAAAGGCAGAAAGGGAGCAAGAAACATCTCATTGGAGTTGTTGACAGATGTAGAATGCTGGAGATGGTCCTAATCTTCCCCAAAGCCTTTTGTTCTTCTCCTTCACAAACAGCTTCTTCCTTTAAGTTTTTCCTGTGTATGCCCAGGCAAAAACATGGGGGAAGGAGCTGAGCTGAGCTCATATTGGCCCCTAGACTGCTGGAGCCTATGGCATGCCTGGTCTTCCCTTAAAGGAGAGAATTCCCATTAGGCAGTGAAACAACGAACGTGAAAGCCCCATTCCCAGACAAGCAAGTGATTTATCCTCAGTCCCAGTAACTAAAATGTGCTGTTGTTTCTGTCTGTTTCCAGAAGGTATCTTCATTCACTCTTATCTCCATGGTGTTCCTCATTGCTTCCTGTGTCTTTGTACAGAGTGGCAGGAGGAAGAAATGTCAGGGAAAGGATGACAAGCCTTAGCCTAAGCATGCAGTACAAAAAGCCTTTCTGCTTCAGTTTATTCCAGAAACAGGATCCATTGGAACCCTCTATCCCTGCAGCACAGTATGGCCATTGCTGGCAGCAGGCTGCAGGTTCTGTACTGGGTTTGCAAAGGCTCAGGACTGAGGCCTGGCAAACTTGCTTTGCTGGGACTATTATTGAGTACCTGCTGCTTCATTTCAATTTGGTTTAGCTGTAGGAGCACTTTTTTCCTTCTAGCCAGGCAGCTGTGGTTGATTTGATTTACTTTGACCAGCACTGTATGGTAGAACCATAGTTTTATACAGATGGCAGTAAAAAGTAACTCTTCTGTGCACCATGAGGTGTTCACAACTCCAGCTTAACAGAGTTAACAGAGTTAATCATGGGCCTGGTATTACTGCAGAGGTCTTGAGAAGTGGAAGCACAGGATGAGGTGCAGATGAGTACAGGACCAGTGGGATGGTAGGAGATGGGGCACAGGCTTGGCTCTGGAGAGGTCACAGCTACAAACAACTCACCTACGGACAAAAATGCAGATACAGAGCTAGATAAAAATGGTTTTAGGAGTAGCAAAGAGGACAAAGAAATAGTATCTTACATGTATATAATCAACATCTGTAGTAAATTTGGGTGTAAAATGGAGTTTCAGTCCACTGAAGAAAAAACAAGATGTAAAAGCATGTTAACAATCGTAAAATTGACCGCTAGGAGATTCTAGATTGAGGAAAAAGAAACCATCACCATCAGCTTCACATTCCTCCCACTGAACAACTCTGGATTTCAGTGATTCCCTGTAACACCACCACCAACCTTAGGACCTAGATGAGCACAGGCAGGGGTAGTATAACACCAGGAATAGGGATAGAAGATAAGAAGGTATGCATAAGAGTTTCAAATTATTTTATTACTACTACTACAACTACAACAACTACTACTACTACTGAAACTTTTTCTGCATAGGAGTATTATTTACTTTTCTGTAATAATTTGACCTGTGCTAATAATTATATTTTATTAAAGTGATAAGATTTCAGTTATACTAACATTCAATTCTTGTTTTTGTATATAAGGTAATTTTTCCTTTTGCCCCAAAACAATATTTTCAGCCTACCACTCAGTAAGAAAATTCCTGAACAGCTCACAAACATGCTATATTTCTCACAGGTTCAAAATAACCATATCACTTTATGAGCTGAAATCACCATCAAAATGTGAAAAATGCATCTGCCCAGGAGAGGTCTAAAGAGTCTCTTGGCCTCAACTGAAAAGGTAAATGCTGTCTTGGGTAAAATCAGTTTTGTTTTTCAGTTTTTCCCTTCAAAACTCTTCCTGCTCTCTTGGATGCTCTCTCGGATGCTCTCTCTATTAGTCAAAACTGATTCTAACTCTCTCTTCTGAGAACCTAAGTCCAAATTTCAAATGCTTTGAAAGATGTACGAGTTCTAGACCCAGCTTTGTGAATGGCTTTGGTTTTCTTGTGCAAGATCTAGTCCCAGTTTTGTGAGTGGCTTTGGTTTTCTATTTGGATGACCCCAAACACCATTTGGAGATGTTCAGATTTGATACTTGAATTCTCTCTTGTCTGAATATACTGCATATGTGTTTGTCTTTTATGCTAAATGAAGAAAGAACTCTTGATTTGCTGCATTTTCCCTGTTTTCCTAAAAATGGTGAGATACTATCTTACTGCAGTCTGTTGATTTACAAGATGCATGGAAACCCTCCTTCCTTAAACACAGCTCGCCATAAAGGAGGTTTGGTTTAGTTCATTTCTTTTCAGTTAATTTAATTTTGGTCAGGTTCTTCTGCCTCATCCAACAGGGATTACCCCCTCAAACCTGTAGGCCTTGGTCCTCTGTGTCTTGCCAGGGTGTTGCACAAGTCTGGTTGCTTAATCCCAATTTCCCCCATTGCTGCTTGCTCTGACCCCAGTCCTAGAGCACCGACATCTGAGAAATGCTTAGATCAAAGCTCCCCACCCACCAGTGGGGTCTGGCCATTAACCTTTTGTTTATGCACTTGCTGGGCAGCACAGAGGCCCTTCAGGTATTTCCCTGCTGAACAAAGGCAGGCGTTTAAACCCAGCAATGTGCTTTATGACTCTGGGCACCGTTACTGCACACGTTTGACTCTTCCCTCTGCAGAGATTAATGCCGGGATCTCAAACATCGCTAATGCTTTATAGACAATCCATTAACATCAGTGTCTCCTAAGTGGCCAGCCATACCATTATTCACAAAATAGGGATCCCTTCCTAAAGCTACTGTTACCAACCCCTTGATTTCCTGAGCATGTAATCATGCGTATTATCAGCTGTGGAGTATTTTACACTGCTACATATTTTTTACTATATAATGAAATGTGTGTGTGCGTGAGTGACATACATAAAAAAAAAGAAAGAGGAATATTGCTATTCCACTTACTGCAGTGTATGAGCTGATCTGGTTAGACATGAAATGCAGACAGAAATCCGCCTCACCTCTCAAGCTAATTTTAGTCTCTCCCTCTGTTCTCTCTGGCTGTGTGTGTATAAAATCACTCGCAGTCTGACAGCGTTTCAGTAACCTGTGCCACGCACAGAGCGGGATGTACTTACTAACCATCTGCTTGCATGGCACGGGTTAACTGAGCCTGTGGGATTGTGCTTACCTAAACAAAACCACTGCAGTGAGGGGAAAAACAATGAATGGGTGGAGATGATCAGCCCATGCATTCCAGCTAGTGCAGTCCAGGCAGCCTGAAGGTTGCAGCAGCATCGGGATCGGCATTCCAAGTGCACTGATCTTACAGTCTGGAGTGATTTTGTGTGGAGCTGCTCTTTATTTGCTGAGCCATGGCCAGTAACCAGGCCAGCCTGCAGGATGATCAGAGCAGGCACTGCAAGTTCTTATCCTATATGTTCTACCAGGCTGTGAGAGATCACAAGCCTGTGTGGATGCTGGAAGACATGAGAACTATGGAATATTTTTACTGGGAGGAAAATGCCAGCCTACGAACCTACTCACCTTCAGAAGCCCTTCTCTATGCAGTGGTGCATAATCACCTGCCTTATGCTCAGTATCTGCTGTCTCATTTTCCAGAGGAGGCTCTCAAGGTGCCTGGGGAACACTTCTGCTATTGCCCATCCTCTGCTCCTCATTTGGCCATGGCGGTCACATATGACAGGAGAGATATCTTGGGACTGATCATCAAAATTGCACACAAGCTCCCCAGCTTGAACTCCTACATCAATAGGGCTGGCTGCTTTCATCTGGAAGATGGGAAAACCCCCCTGCACCTTGCCTGTGAACTGCTGAGGTCAGAGACGGTCCTCATCCTCCTTGGGAATGGAGCCTCTCCCAGGATAGAGGACAGTAAAGGGCTTACCCCTCTGGACGTCATCCTGGAGCAGATGTGGGACTCCAAAGTCAATGTTGCATCAAAGAAGCTCTGCCTCGACTACCTCCTTCTCTTCATGCCCAACCCACAGTTTAAGATGCGGAAAGTTCTGCAGGAGCATCCAGACCACTGGACAGCTTTGCTGGGAGAAGACAAATTCAACAGCCTGGTGGGGAACACACCTGCTTCTTTATATCTGCAAGCTATGCAAACTATTCTTCAGACTCTTCCCCCTTCTCACTTCCCTAAAAGCATCCAGGAACTACCTATACCTCAGGCACTAAAGCCCTTACCATCCTATGGCAAAAAGCTACCGACAAAAAATGTGGTAAATGTTTTTCCTTGACTTTATTCGCTGGGTCTTGGATTTTCAAAGGCAACTTAGGGGAGCTGGTCATCCACCGCCCTCTGCATTTTAATGTGATTTTAGTACTTAACCTATTAGGCTATGCTGGAAAATCCAATATTTTGTGACAAGATTTTAAATGTCTTTTCTAACCGATTGCAGGCACGGCACTTTTAAAGGCAGAAGCCTTCCTTGTTCTCTGTTTTGTTGTGCATGTGAAGGGTTAACTGTAGTCGAGACTGTGTTATGTTTGGTTTCTTAGCTGTCAACTGGTATCAGTGTATCTGAATTCCCAATATGATAACTCTATCCCATGTAATGTACCTGGGTAAAAAGGAACACACTGGGCATGTGGGATTTACCCACACGCCCAATGGGATTTTCAAATGGTGTAACTATGGGACTGTGTTCTGCTAGAGCTGGGAGAAACACCATTCTCTACCAACAGGGTTCACACGTCAGGTTTCCTTTCTAACAATGATCTAGCATCATCTACTAATAACCACAAAGTCCATGGCTGATGCTGCAGGGAAGCAGAGGCAATCCTGCAGGGTACCTGATTTTACCAAGATACTTTACAGCAGGTCATGTGGAGGGCATGAGTTCAGAGAGGGGCAGTGAGTGTATATTCCTGGGGGATTGGGGTATAGAAACCCACAGAACAGCTGACAGAAAGCATCCTGTCTCACCTGGGAATGAGAGGGTTAAAGACAATCCCAGCCCTGATGCCTCTACAGACCTGTGCAGTGGGGAAGGAACCATTTTCCTTGTTGCCCAGTAAACAAATGGCAATTGGAGCAGGGCCAGTGGAAGCCCTGTCCTTCATAAGTGACACTATTTCTCTCTGACTTGTGTTTTAGAACATATCTCTACAGGAGATGTAGCTCACTAACTTGGTTTCCCAGTGGGTCTCAGAGCCACCAGCACTTGTTAGTTATCCTAAACTGGGGTGTGATGTTCTGCTGTCAAAAGTTGTTCCTTGCTGTCAATTAGAGTATTTTTGCCACCCGGGTCCAGACAGAGAGTCTGACCCTGGAAATGACAAAAAGTTCCCACTGACTGGGCACTGCAGGCAGGGTGTGTTTGCAGAAAGTGGGTTTGGGGCTTCCCCGCCTTCTGGGTAGCTCTGAACCTCACTGCTCAGGCAGAGCCATCTCTGTTCAAGGCACTGGTCCTGCTCTCCTGGCTGTTCTCAGCACCAGTGGAGCAGCAGTGGTAGAGCCCCCACTCCCTCTGGGGGACATCCCTTATTTTGGACCCCAGTGTTCTCCTCTCTTTGTAAGCCCGACCCTCTGTTCTGCTGGAGTAGTGTAACTCAATTCCCAGATCCGCACTGAGCAGCAGTGAAGAACTCCGCTCTTCAACTGAACTTGGAGCCAAAGTCTGTAGGGCACAAAACCCTTTTAGCAAGACTCTGGCTAAGAAAGGATGTTTAGTCACATCTCAATTGCTTTGTGCAAAAATGGCTCATGTCTCATCTGGCTAATTCCCCGCCTGTGCCACAGAGGCCGTACTGGACTCTTTTTTCCCATCAGTACAGGGAGCACTTCCACTCAGTTTCCCTCTGCATGGGGTACCTCCTGTATGCCAGGGCACTGGTGATGCCAGGCATGGCCAGGTGGAGATTTCCTGTGGGAATGCACAACAAGTCAGTCACAGCAAACTGGAACATGCTTTCTGAGACCCTGGGGTGCTCCTCCCAGCCTTTCTTTCCCACATGCCATAGGAGGACCTCAGTGCCAGTGCCACCTGAGCTAGGCAGGTGAATATGCAGGATTGCTTGTGAGGCGGAGAAAATGTCAGCCGGGCCCTAAAAGTGGCAAGCAGGCCATGAAGGGGTTAACCCTTCTGAAATCCCACATCCCTGGTTCTGCAGTGTCCTTCTGCCCCTGCCCCTGGGGACTTGCATGTCTTTCTCCATCTGTGTCTATTCCTCCTTGTTCAGTGGGAGAGGCTGTGAACGGGGAAATTCAGGGTCAATCTTGGGTGAGGGTTTTGCAGGGAGGCTGCTCCCTCAGCAGGCTTTGCTGCAGACAGAGGCTGTCACAGCTTGGGACTCAAAGCAGGGCCCAAGGCAGATTTGCATCATAAGCGGTGGCTCAGCTGCTTCTGCCAAGCCCTGCAGGCTCCCAAGCCCTGGAACATACTCCCCACCCCTCCCCACAAAAACCTGAAGCTCAAGACAGAGGACAGTGCAGGTGCTCGCTGCCCATGACTGACCAGAGCAACTGTGCAGAGCATGGCCCCTGTGGTACCCCTGGAGTCCAGAGGAGTAGGATTGGGTTTGTTCCCAGTAGCACTGCGGTATCTCATCCGGATGTCGGTGGGGGAGGCTGGTGATTGATATTATTAGAATAGTAATTAGGCCCCGGAAGCAGAGATCCCAGGAAAGGAGGGAATGGAAATCATCCACTGTTTTTGCGCTGGCTCGAAACCATGAGAGTTTTGTGCTATAAGGAATTGCAGAAAAGACAGGAGGAAGGGGAAGGCTGTTAGACTTACAAATCCAAGGAGACAGGTAGGGATTCTTGGCATTAATGGAGAGCACTTTCTAATAAGGCAGGAGGCTGTACTCAGAGAGCCACGGCAACCCACTGGGAGCAACTGAGTCTAAAATGGTGCAGGAATTTCTTGTTGGCCGTAATAATTGTGGATCATTGCAAAGGTCAGGGATCAGGCCCTTCAGGCTTATGGGTGGATTTGTAGCTGACAGCGGGATGCTTGTATGCATGCATTTGTCCATGTGGGAGGCTCCCCTCTATCCAGTTGCCCAGAGAGAGGATAGAAGATGGATTGTCTTGAGCAGTTTCTTTCTGGGGCATATTTGTGACTGCTACCACGGCCTGGTCCACTGTCGGCCAACATGCAAAAATCCTAGTGTGTTCACCCCAATGTGTAACAGGCAGTTACCCACACAGGAAAGATCACTCCACAGCCCCCTCATTTCTCCTTCTCCTGACCGTTTTAACAAGAGATCAAGTACTAGCTGGCCCTCAGTCATGGAGCTACTATTGGACCTCCCATGTGCAGTCCCATTGGGCCAAAATTTAGGGCTTTAAGTGTTGTGGTGGCAACTCTTTCCATTGCCTGTAGTGATATGATTGCAGAATGGGCCCTCCTTCTTATGGAATGGGACAATCTTCTCCCTAAACCCAGTTTGCTTATCTTGTGGTGACCCATCTGTTAAAGTTTGAGATCCTATCTGTCTTCTTCTCAATACAGTGACATTACATCAGATATGGCCAAATCTACCTCAGCCCTGTCTGCATTGGTTTTTTTTCTCCATTCTTTCCAAGCCAGGTCATTAGCAAAAGTAAACTCAAAGTATTTTGCAGACTTCCTGCAACCTGACAGTCTTGAAAAATCCCTGTGCTTGCATGAGAAACATGTTGGTGACTTTGTAAATCAAAAAGGGTGCTAGGTGCTGTGTGGTGATGTTTACATTTTGCATATATGCATACTGAGTAAGTGTTGCTAAAATCTGTATTTCTGAACTTGGGGAAAAGAATAAAAACAATAGTGAAAAGGGGAGAGGGTAAAGTCTTTTCTAATCTTTGGATTACAGGTTGGCTCTGCAGGTTACATCTTTTTAATTTCAATTTTGAGGAGTAGCATTGTAAGGATCTGAGTTGTCTCGGTATGTGTGTGACTACAGTTTTGGTGAGAGCCACTTCAGTGACCACAGCGAGTGACTTGAGAGGGGTGTGTGGCGAGGGAGGGGTTGTGTGGGGGTGTGTGAGTGAAAACGTGTGGGTGCATGTGCGCACACGGATGTCTGTGTCTGGCTGCCCTCTCCTGGTAAAACCCGTAACTGACTGACAGTACTTAACTGCACTGCTCGTACCCAGCGATCGATGCCTTAAGGAAGCAGCCTTTGCACGAGTTCATCGTGCGTCCCAGGCTCTGTGCTGCTGACAGGTAAGGACATTTCTTCTCTTGTAAAGAAGCAGCAGCTTTGCTCTTGAAATGGGTGTTTCACCCCGAATACCAAGCACAAGTGCTTCTGCTTGCCAGCAACTCCAATCGTCCAGCAAAGGGTTTGTGATGCTGGCCACATTTTATTCTAGAATCCATTTTTTAAAAAATAAAATATATTAAACATACATCTTTGTCTTTCTTTTCTCTGGGCTGCCAGCAAAATTCAGCTGCCTATGACTTCCTAACCATATGCTTCTATTTATTTTTGCAGCACCATTAGCAGGAAGGACAGGCCAGATTCTGACCTCTGACCTCTTTACACCTGAAGTAACACTTTTTAAGTCAATTGTATCACTCCTGATGTTTGTTGGTCTAAAGGAAGACAGAAACCGTTTGTGTATTTATGTTCTTCGAGACTCCGTAACTCTGACTTTAGCATACAAATAAAAGTGATACTTAATCCCCAAAATAATTTTTTACATTTTTCGTACTTTGAATGTATATAGATATATATTTTCCATCTCTCTAACACTGATGGGCATTTCCCTGTTCCCAGTTCCCTTGGCTTTTTTGGAATCAGCATGGCAGTGACAGATGCTGTTGTTCAGTGATTAATACTGAATGTTGCCATGCCCAAATACAAATGAATGTTCACTGTATGCTGCGACTTTCTTATAAAGCCATACTTTTGTAATGTTTAGGGGAAAAAAATCTGCCCTATAATTGTGTTTGTACATTACTTGCTGCATGATTAAAGATAAAAAGATTGTAATGTGCTGGAATAAAGCATATATATATAGCCTGATAATTAGGTATATTAGCTGTGAAAATCATTTAATCTGACTGTATTACTATAATAAACTTGCAATATAAAATTGATGTGTCTTTCATTAGCCAGTTGGTCAAAACCACCCACCAGTATCTTTTGCTTTTGCTTTGGCTCATCTTGTTGTTTGATGATGATTTTTGACTGCTGAGCCATTACCCCCAAAAAATGTGATTTGAAGAAGAAAATATTTTCCTTCACAGGCTTGCAGTATCTTGCTGTGCTGTCAGAAGACAACCCCAAGTGATGAGGTGAACTCATACTGATGAGTCAGAAGAAAGGGCTCAACAGGGGTGAATGGTAATTGGGTTTGGAGATTTCCAGTTTTAGGTTTGAGTTCAGCTCACGTAGCTGTTTCCAGTGAACATAACAGTGCCAGTAGCCTCCTCTCCTTGTCTGGTTTGTATTCCATCAACAAGATCCCTTCCTTTCTAGGGTTTTTCTCTGTACAGCAAGATGCCCCAGCAAGGTTTTCAGCACCAACTTCTCCTGTAGGCTGCTGAAAGCCCTCAGGCAGACGTGCACCTCCCACCCTCTGTGCTCTCAGTGAGGTAATGATCCACCAGGTTCCGTGCACAAGCTCTGTCACAAACAGCTACCCAAAGCATTTCAGGTGATGAGTAGCTGTTTTGGATGATGATGATGATAATCACACGAGTAGACCTCCACCACCAACTGTACCTACAGATCTCAGTGCGCCCTAGTACACACAAGCTATAACCCGAGGATAACTACTCTGAACCTGTGCTTGCATTGTAAGTTATTGGATTCATGGAAGAATGCAGAGAGGGGAACTGTTTCTCTGATATCACTTAAAGAAGATTAAGACTATCTCCTTGCCTTCATAGTGGAAGACTTAGCCCTGACTATTTCACCACAAGAATGTGGTCCCCAGAGATATAAGTCTTCTGGCTTATTTGCTTCCACCTTTCTCATTTGAGAATAAGAATCTGACTGAATTTCTCTCATACCCTGGCAGCTCTGCTGAGGCTGACAATCAGGGCATCAGCGAGCTGCTCTGGCAGCTGAGGGAGTCCCAGGCTGACACATCCCTCAGAGCCAGTCTCATCTAGGTATCGGGTTTTTTACAACTGTAGTTAGTTGGAGCCCATGCACCAGCAGGCAGCAAGACAGGTATTTAAATAGAGCAAGAAATTTAAAGGGTATATTCCCTTGTGTGGGGGGAAGCACTGTCACAAGCAAATGACGCATTGACCAAAATCCTGCCCACACCTCAGTTACTCCAGCGCACCTCCCCAAGTGAGTCACCCCAAATGGAGCTGATAGGCTTGGCATGTCCCATACTATCCTGTGTCTGTCTGGCCAGCACAACAGCAGTGCCTTCTGGGAGCATACACTGCGTTTTGCGGCACCAACTCACTCAGCTGATGATACAGATGACTGTGCACAGCCATCAGGCTCCAGCTCCCAAGACGCCAGCTCCCAAGGCGCCTCTAGCACTTTGGAAGCCACTCTGGAGCCAAAAAGCCAGATTTCTCTGGGGGTGACTCCTAAGAGATGCTTGATTTGGAAAATCAGTCATAATTTTCCAGTCTCAGTTCCAGCTCTAGTAAAGCGTGTTTCCATTTTCCTATGGATCTCCTGTGAAGGGGAATTTTATTGCTAGTGGGAAGGCTTTTGGTAAATTTCGTGAGTACATACAGAGAGAAGATAGCTGTGCTCTGTACACCAGCTATGCCCACCCACACAGATTCCCATGAAGAGCTGTGAGGGGGAGGAATGATTATCACAGAGTTGTCAGACTCGCACAAGAAAACCTGGGAGAGAGGAAGAAAAGGATTGGAACAAGCAGTATGGCAAGATGCCTTGTGGGATGCAGATCCTACAGTTGAACAGAAATAGTGAAAATAGTCTGGAGAATCCCAAATGACAGTATAAGCTATGAGAAGCACAGCAACGCAGAAACCACCCCCTGCCACTTTCTCCTAGAGATCAGGATCACAGAGAATATCAGGAACCAGTCTCAAAACTGAGGCAATATAATGCCCTCACTGTCCACATTCTGGAGATATTGTCATGAAGTCTTCAAGCTGGTATAAGCAGGCACTGGCATAAGCAGTTCAGAGACACAGGTCCAGCCTGCTGCTGCCTCCCTGCTCTCTACTCCTGCCCTCGACCAAGCAAGCCCCAGCAAAGCTGGGTCATGATGCTGTCACACCAGTGCCGGTGCCACCCAAGGGGACAGGGGCTCTGGTAACAGGAATGAGCAACCAGGCAGGTGGTATTGCTCCTTTCTAAGGTTGCTTTTAACTTCAGCAGTAGAACACCTTGTTCTTTGATGCAGAATTAAACAGGAGAGATCTCCACTAATGCTGAACAAAGCCCCTCTCTATCATGCTGTACATTGTGTGCACATAAGAAATACCTTAATTGTCTCCTGAGTTAGAGCAGACTTGGTATGTTTAAAACAGTGAAGGCTTCTGAAGTGGGTGAAGAAGAGGCTGACAAGCATTAGAAAAGGAAATAATCATTAAAGATGATTGGAAATTGACATTTCTATGCCACCAAAAATGACAGTATTGCAAAATACGCTTCAGTTCTGATTTGGAATGAAAATTCAAAATACCAAAATTTATATGAACACAGTTTTACAAGGAAGAAAACTGACCCAGATCTATTATATGTACGTGGCATCCAACATAATTAGGTCCAGATAATGAAAGAAGTACTTACAGGGTCTCTATCAATGAGGTAATGCCTGTCCCTCTGGAGCAACTCTCAGCACTAGGCTGCAGAGATGGTGAAGAGCCTTGAGGGGGAGCCATACAAGGAATGGCTGAGGTCACTTGGTCTGTTCATCCTGGAGAATGGGAGACTGAGGGGAGACCACATTGTGGTCTATAGCTTCTTCATGAGGGGAAACAGAGAGGTAGGCACTGATCTCTTCTCTTTGGTGACCAGTGACATGAGGGAATGGCATGAAGCTGTGTCAGGGGAGGTTTACGCTGGATATTAGAAAAAGGTTCTTCACCCAGAGGGTGGTTGGGCACTGGAACAGGTTCCCCAGGGAAGTGGTCACAGCACCAAGTCTGCTGGAGTTCAAGAGGCATTTGGATAATCCTCTCTGACGCATGGTGTGACTCTTGGGAATGTCTTGTGCAGGGCCATGAGCTGGATCCTCGTGGGTCCCTTCCCACTCAGAATATTCTTCTGTTCTGTGGTTCTGTAAAACACATTGTCTTGAGATCGCAAGGGAAATCCAGACAGTATTTTTTAAAAGTCGCTTCTGATTTTGAGGGTTTGACTGAAGCCGAAAATGAGCAACTACTACAGAACAAAAATCTCTGTTCTTCTGCCTGGAAGGTGTCAGGCAGTGACACTGTAAGCAGTCTCTTTTTCTGAGTTTACAGATCTTAGGGAGATGCTATTTTCAGCTGTGATACATATATTTTCAGACACTAAACTTCTCACCGATAGAGTTGACTGCTTGATCAAATGGGGTTTTTTATGGGACTCCTTCTGTGGGTAGAACTGAGCTTTGGTGATAGCCACAGCCTTTGGCTCACTTCTCTACCAGCATGATGACAGATAGAGATAAAATTACATTCCATGCATAATTTGGGATTTAATAAAAGGAAAGCCAAAATGATAGGAAGAAAGAACTCTGCTTAAGTTAAGTTCCTGCTTAAAGGTGTGTTCCCTAAGCACTCAGAAATTCGCATGCTCACTTAGACAGGCTCACTCAGATCTGGTGAGCCTCAGGAAGGCGTAAGGTATGGTAAGTTACCCAAATTTGGGATCAGGGAGGCTGAGGATATCTTTCCCACAAAATTACCCAGCTCTCCCAAATTGCAGAATTAACATATTCTAGAAGCAGATTGGTGCTTTGTGTTCTCTTGAAAACATGAACCAGGTTTCCAGAGGTCTCAGTTCTACCCCAACACACAACATCACCATCCCCTCACATAAAAAACCCATCACTTAAATAACAAAGTCCAAACTTAGACCTGTCCATGGCCACTCTTAAACCCCTTTTGCAGATGTTTAGACCTGAGGAACCCCTTCCATCCTGGCCTGAGCTTTTGTCCCCACTGCCTTGGAGGGGATGAACACTGCACACGATATACAGCACGCAGCATGAACGCACATGCAGGCACCATGGCTGATGTGAAAGAAGACATCCTGCATGAGTCTTATTTATTTTTAGAATAAAAAGACCCTGCCTCAGCCACACAGGACTCCATGACTAACGTCCCTGGTGCCAGCCTGCCAGGTTTTTCCAAGCCTCCCTGCTGGACCTGTCAGCGCAACTGCTCTAAGATCCAGGCAGGCAAGTCCTTGCCTTTAAGACCAGGCCAGACTTTAAATAGGCAACTGCAGCTTTAGTTTGTAGTAGTTACTGCTTCTATTCTCTGTGTGGATCTTTATACCATCTGCAATAACATCTAGAAACTGCTGAACCTAGGAGAGCTGCTAATGAATATGCTCTCACCAGTTAAAAGAAAAAAAAAGGAATTTATTTTAAAATGAAAACGCCGTGTTTAAGTTTTACATTTCAAATATTTTAAGTGTTTTTTCTTCTTCTTTCATTCCTGCAGCGCTGCATGAAAGGCCAGTCTTGCCTGGCTATTGTCTGCTTCCCTGCATGGCTCCCTGTGCTTTGGCAGTCAGTCATCAAATCGCCACAGCTTTGAAGCGGATCCGTCTTCCAAAGAGAGACCTTTTCTTCCGCCTCCCCTCATCATCAGTCGCACATGAGCCCTGTGGGGCTTTTGAACTGGAATACCACCGTTTATTAGAAGCGAAAATAAAGACTGCAACTCATAAAACGAAGGACGCTCAGCTGGGCAAGGCAGGATGGGAATAAAAAGGGATTACCAACAGCCCGCCCTTCGCCCAGGCATGCCCTGGCTTGTCGGCTGCCAGAGCTGCGGCGAAGGGGGGAGCGAAAAACAGCTTCTCGCACCTGTGCCGCTGGTACCGGCGATCATTTCCACGCACCGCCTTTGTCTTGTTTGGGGTTTGTTTGTTTGTTTTTGTTTTTGTTTTTATTTTTTTACGACTCTGTTCACACTTCCCAGAGCGAAGGGCACCCCAGGGCTCCCGAGGGCCGGGCCTGGGCCGCGGTGCCGCCGCCGGCCGCGAGATGGCGCCGCCGCCCTTCGGCCGCCGTGAGGGCCCGGGAGGGCGTCGCAAAACGTGGAACGTGTGAAAGGGTCTTCTCTGCACACTTTCAAGCCTAATGAACAAGAACAACAACAACAACAAAAGATATTTAATCTTTGAAACAGAGGGCTGCTGGGAAGTAAGCTCTGAGTGATGTCCGGGTGTTAGAAAGACAAATTACTTGTTGGTGAAATTGCCTTCTTAGGGTTTAGGGCCTCGACATGTTTCAGTGATCTCAGACCGAGGGGAGGTTAACTGAGCCTGGGGAGAAGGGTGTACCACTGATAGTGGGCACGAAGAATGCAGAGTTTACAGGCCACCAGGACATTTGGCAGAACTTCCCAGGCAAGGAAGAAAACTAATAAAGACAACTCAGCAACTGTGCTGCATCAGCTCTGACTGGGTAAAAGGTAATTCTGGCAGGGGGAGATCGCGACCACTGACTCATGAACCACCAACGCAAGAAAGCCACCAACCCAAAAGAGGAGGAAGACTGAGCATGCAGACTAATTAGCATGAGAAGCAAGAGAACCATTAACCAGTAGAAGATAGAATACTGATTAATAAAAGAACTATGTAACTTGTAGCCAATGAACATTGATGCCTTGGAATGCCAAAATGTATAAATAATAAAAAGTTTTAATAATTGGCTTGCTTGATTTGTGGAATACCACTGAGCACTCAGGCTTGTGCAACTCTGAAATAATCAATGTCTCTCTCAAGTGTGTAATTATTGGCTTTGGAACACTGGGTAAAAATTTTTCGTGGACAACAAGGTGACCCTGGGGCTGTGAGGGGACTCCACCCCTGTGGGGAGACCCTGGAGTGGTGAGGGAACCCACTGCCACCAGCTGCCCCTCACCGTGTCTGGCTGGTGATGACAGCAAGCCCTTCGGATGCAGTGTCAAAAACAAACCCAAATAAGCAAACCCAGCTGCAGGAAGGTGGAGCAGGTGCCTTTACTGTCAGGCACCAGAGGTTTGGGAGTCATTCAGTGACAGAAGGGCCTCACGTGCCCTGGAAGTTGACCCTGGAGCTGGGCTCTAAACAAAGAGCTACAGAAAGAAGCAAGTTGTTTTGCACAGGGCTTGTAGGGTCACAGAGCAGAGACGAATCTCAGCCCTGTGGAGCAGGCAAACATTTCCCATCCTCTCTGCTGCCTCCAAGGAACAGGAGAAGCTGTGGTGGCTGAAGCTGTGTGGGGGTGGCTGAGAGGCTCCATATTTGTGTTTAGCAAAGTGCGTAGAATCCAGGGATTTGATGCAGCCCTGCTGGTGCACTGCTCCTGCGCGGAAAAACTCATTAAATGGAGGAGGTGGCAGTGGTGGAGCTGCAAGAGCCACCATTTCCCCCTTTCCCAGGAGGAGGCTGGCTGTGGCAGGAGGTAGAGGAAGGCATTTCCACTGCAGCTGGGCAAGGAGCCTTTCTGTGCAGTTGTCATCTCCTGCAGAAAGCAGAGGATTGTTGAGAGGCTTGATACCTATCAGGAAACAAGGGAAGGTACTGCCAAAGCTGTGTTTCTGGCACATTTGATTAAATCTCACATAGCTCCCTAGACATTCCTGGCAGGCCCAATAGCCTGAAGTCTCAGCTAAAAAAAAATAAAATCAGTCCACCTTTCTGGAGTTATCTCCCTCTGATCTGGGGGTCTGTCCCTTTATTTTTACTCATCTCTGCCTAAAGGCTAATCAGCAGGGCTTGAAAACCAATAACAAATTGGTTAAAAATCAGCTTTATATGCAAAGCCTAAAATAAAACATCTGTATATATCCCAGAAGCCTTCACAACCTCCTGTTTTATTAGTATCTCTAAAATAACTTTTCTTTCCTGACTCTTAATTCCAGCCAGAAGCACTCGGATAATCCTCATAGGACTGTTATGTGTATTTCCAATTAAGCAATTTATAAGCACTGGCTGCGAAGAGCTTTTTGTTCTTAAGGAAATTATTTCTTCATTAAGAGTAAAACAAGTCTTTTTTTATCCCTGCTTTATATAAAAGCCCTTGTGCCCCCTTCACATATGGTTTAAGTACTGAACTATGTAGAAGGAGATTAATCATTTTGTATCCCAACAAGCAGGCAAGACACAGCAGCTGGGTCAGCCACACAGGGAATAGGCATTTCAGTGTTTGTTTTCAGAGAGAAGTAAAAGTCAGACAGACAGACACTTTCAAGCTACTTGCCTTTGCCAGAGGCAACCCACACAATCACGAGCCCTTCTGGAGTCTGAGTCATGAAGAACTGCCACAGACAAAATGAAGATAGTCAAGAGGGGAAAAAAAAAATCCCATTCATGCCCAGCTAATGAGGAGAAGTTCCAAATTGCCTCTTGTTTTCCAGGCTGTGTACCTTAATTAGATGAATCACAGAACACTGAGGGTGGAAAACACAGACCAGAGAGCTCATAAGAGTCCACTTCATTCTTTCACACTAGCAGCATTATCTACCTCCCCTCCAGGGAATAATGTCCCTCCATTTTCTCGGACAGCAAAGTCTCCTGGCATGAGGCATGGACAAACATGGAAAATGAAGAGCAGAATTGATGTGTGATTGACTTGAGCTAGTAGCACAAGCATTCTATTCCTGTTCTTCTCCCCAAATCCAGCTATTTACACTCTCTGTAAGGGTGCTTACCAGCCTGTCTTCTGGTCAAGGTCAGACCTATGACCAAATAGCATGAGTAGGACTGAGCAGCAACGTGGGGGTTCAACTTCAAAATGAGGGCACACTTGCAAGCATTAGGAATTGACTCATCAGAAAACCTGATGTGGTAACAGGAAGGCATTGTGAGCCTTGGGCATTCCTGGGACTCTGGAAAGAAAGTCCATGTTAGTGACATAAGTAAACTGCCTTCCCTTAAACTTTCTCCAAGCCCAATTAGAAGGGGACAGCCTAACAACGGGATAGCTCCAGAATGTTTAAGATTTATATCTAGTATCTGCTTACCATAACAAGTGTAGAGACATGGAGGAACTGACAACGAAATGCAATTAGTACAGTTAGAAAACAGCTAACCTGTGTAATGGGTAAGAGATCAATAATTGCAACATGTAAGCCTATGCCAATGCTTAGCTTGCACAGGGTCACTGGAAAATGTGTCGTGTACTCCAGCAGAACCAGCAGCCCCATGTCTTTTCCCCAGGAATGGATGTGTAAAATGACTGATGAATGAAGCTAGAAGTGGTGAGTTCAACTGTACAGTTCAGTGTAAATATCATATAATTCAGTGAAGAAATGATGAGTTCAGAATGATCTTGAAAGCTTGAGGTTTCTTTCTCAGTCTCTGCATATGATGCCATGCTCAGTAAAACCATTTATGATGTCCCTTTCTGCTACTAGGTGGGGTTTTTTTCAGAAGCACAAGGAAGAAATGCCTGGCTGTAGGTCCCTCAGCAAGCCCAGTGATACTGTGGCTTTTGGTTATTCTGGTAATATGATGTTGCTCTCTGTCTTACAGGGAAATATGTTTTGATGAGGTATTTGAAGGACAATGGGGTAATATGTGACATTGTGCATTGGCTCCTGGGCCAGAGACAGCTCTACTGGCAAATGCAGAGTCACTGGTCTGGCAGGTCAAAAAAAAAAGTCACTTATGTCAGGGCAGCATGAGAGAAAGGAAGAGGACAGAGTGACAAACAAGTCATACTTGGTGCTCAGAGTCAGCACTGCTGTCAAAATGGAGGGGAGAACAGCAAAGTAAATGTCAGAAACAGATAAGTAGGTTAATAAAGGGAAGCAGAAATGTGCAGAAAGGACCATTGGTGTTTAAGTATAGCCTAATGTACAAAAGAGTATAGAGAACAACCTGTTTGGCTACTCACATGAAGTAAAAGGGATATGGCAGCATCTTAGTTGTAAAAACTAAGACAAGAGAACAAGAGGAGGCAGCCAAAGAGAAAGATCAGGATTTAATTTGCTTGGTGTTCAGTCAGCAAGAGACGTGGGGGTGGCAATATTGCCAAAGCAAAGCTGAGTTGAGGAAAATAGATTAGAAGTGGTGAGTCAGATGTGTGATCTCATGGTTGCACAGCTGATATCTGAAGCTGCAGGAAGTCTGAGGATCACAGGAACCTTCAAGGGGGCATTTCTTCCTGGGTTTTACAGCTCAGATCCCATCAAAACACACTGTTCAACAACACTTAGTCACCACAAACCTGCAAGAGCATGTCAGAGCCAGAGAAGTGAAAGGCACAGCAGTGGCCAGATATGGAACTGCAGGAATATTCCTTGGATAGGGGTAGGAGTTAGAGAGAAAATCCCTTCCAAATTTAGATCCTCACTGAAGACCCCACCCCTCAGGGAAATCTTTAGTGAGTAAAGGTTTAGGACATGTGTGTCAGTTGCTGTAAAGTCTCTTTTGTGGCCAATCCAGGCAGTACCAAACTGGATGATGCGTAACAACACACAGACCATGGAGGCACGAGTCCTACTTCTGTCTGTGATTGCGTGCATTAAAACAATTTTGTTTAAACAGCTTATCTTTGTCTGCTTTCAATGATACCATTGTAATCTCTTGTGGTATCCAAATGCATTTTTCTCCCCTCACTAGAGCTTTTGTGGAAAGGGAACCACTTTGTGATATCTCCTCGATTTTTACGTACCTGCCTTAGTGACTGTGATAGCAACATTCTCCTCTATTGCTCTGGAAACTAGCTTTACATGCACTGTTTCATCTACTCCTTAATTCTTCCACTGGGGCACTAAATCTGGACTAAGCTGAAATACTAGGACAATAATTCTTAATCCACTGTGGAACATTAACTGAGTGTTAAGACAGCGATTTGCTGTATATTACGAACGTGGCTCCATTTCGTTTCCTCTCTGGAGATGCTGATTCACTGATGGAGTGATGTTCTTCCAGGCAAGAAAAGATTAAATAGAGACAACAGACTCAGAAGTAATAAATAAGGCTGTAGAACAAAACTGCCTGATATTATATTATTTTAGAAGCCGTATATAATCATGTCATCAGAGATGTGCTGTGATGCACACATGCAAGGGAGCAGAGTTAAGGTGGTGCCTCTAACACAGTGCTAGTTCATGAGGTCACAGAGTTTACAACTGTATATTTTACATTATATCAATCCAGCAATGGGAAGGAGGTTTGCATCTGTTTAGCTACTGCAATGTTTCCTTTTGATTTTCTCTTAATCCCATCGCAGTCCAAGTGTTTTTCAAAGGAAGTGAGCACTACTTCCCCTGCTTCTCAGATACGAAACTGAAGTGCTGGAGAAACAGCACATCCTTTACTCTCTGAGATCAACAGAACATGCAGTAGAAAGGAACCAAGTTTCCAGGTCCCTGCTTCTGTACGCAGTATGTGGTCACACTCTCCTTACTAGTGCAGTACTGCAGGGAGGCTGCATGGCTGAAATTCTGAAGACAAGTTTGGATAGTGCATCTCTAATACAGACAGAGCACAGGCTGGGATCACAGGCAGCCTGCCAGAATTGCCACATCACCCTGTCTGAAGGGACCATCTTCAAAAACAGACAGCAGAGATTGATCAAAGACAAGGTTGTTGCTTTTTTCATTTGATTCAGTGATTCTCCTGTCCCAAAAGGCACCTGGGCTGGGATTGCTGTCCTGGCTGCTCTTCATACTGGTTCTGGGAGCTTACCAGACCACCCTTCTGCAAGCTTGGGACAGGCAGCACATTGGGATTATTGAGCACAGGCAGAAGGAAGGGGTTCACTGGACTCCATTACTGTTTTTTCAGGGTGATGGCCAAATGGCAGACATTTCAGCAGTCTGTTGAGCAGAGCCAAAATTTATTTCAGGGCCAAAAATTTAAATTATTAAAATTAGGCACTTGTTGAGGTTGTAATTCCCCTCTGAGTGGATGAAGGCACAGAAAAGAACCTGAGGTTGCTTGTTCCTTACAAGAAGCCTCATTGCTGTAGGACTTAACAAAGCAGCATGCTTCCTTTATCCTGATCAAACAAATGTCAGAAAGCTGATTGGTGACTGCACACAGGTTATGAGAGGGTTTGGGTCTCAGAGTTTTCTGTATGTGCAGAACTCCCAAAAACCCTCTGCCTGTACCTGAGAATCCATTTCACCTAATCCAGACTTGCTGAAGATGCCTGAAGAGAGGTCTTGATCTTTATTCCTAAACAAAATCAGGTGTGCAGAATCTTTTTGATGGTATGTTGTGTAGCTTTGAGAGTTCGAAACTCCAAGACATGCTCTGAAAGTGACCTTGATCTCTCTTGGAGGTGAGGATGTTCTCTCAGACCTGTAGCATGTATCTCTAATGCCCAGCCCTTCTCTGTTGCTGTAGGAAGGGATGGGTGCCTGTACTGGTGGCTTACAGTTCTCTGTTAGCTTTCACTTAGTGCTTTGGGGAACTTCAACGTTTCACAGCAGTCAT